GCGTGCCTGCCTCTCCACATTGGCGTAGAAACTCGACAGCCTCGCCTGGAAGGCCCCTCTGGCTGCCTCCAAGGCTTCTGCCTCCGGGCCCGCGGAGCCGTGGAAGCCGGCCGCTTCCTTGCACAGCACCAGGCCTTGGTTGTAACGGGCCTAAAGGAAGATAAAAAGGAAATAAATCTCTGCTCTGATGCATTTTGCTCTGGGGGCCTGTTTGCTGAGGGCCAAATGTTCTGCAGCTGTGAAATCCCAGAGGGACGCTTTCTGTTTGGGAACAAAGTCTGCTCCGGGCAGCAGCGAAGAGACGGAAGGGGTGAGGAACTTTCCCCCTCGGGCACTTCTTGGTCCTGGGCCCTTGCTCCTCACCCGTACGCTTGGTCCTGCCTTGCAAGGAAACTAACAGCGCCCGATTCTGCTCCTGGCGCAGGCCCAGCACAGCGCTCAGGGCTGCGTGGGCTCACGTCTCAGCAGCTGCAGAAAGGCCCTTTCTCCAGCGCACCTGCCTAGGGAGAGCCGCGTGCTTGCAAACGGCTGGCTGCCGGAGAGGAGACCAGGATGGTACGGCGCCCAGATTTCAGCCCCCACGTATCCCAGAGATGCCAGGCTGGGCTAACCTGGGCAAGCTCCTTGCAAAAGGCAGGTGAGAACGTGGAATTTTAGCACCTGGAACGAGCTCCTTCTCGCTCAGAAATCATTCGCCAAGCAACCTCGGGCGGCGTTTCGGGGAGATTTTCAGTGAAACCAGGCTGCTTACTGCCAAAGCGCGGTGAGAGCTGAGACGCTTTAGCTCTTCAGGGTCTGGGGGTCATTCTGGCTATCTGGCCCAGCCCCGGAGCCAGCCCCGCGCTGCAGAGAGAGGTGAGACACATCCAGGATACCCCCCAAGAACCTACTGTCGCCTGGATGAAGAACTCCTTGAACTGCCGGTAGGATTTCTCCGGGCTGTCCGGGCCCCACTCCGCCGCGCTCAGCTCACGCAGCCGAGACTCGCCTTCTTCATCCATCCAGCCGCTGAGCTGTAGGACGCAGCGAAGGACCCAAGTGAGCCGTGAGGTTTGCGCGGGAGCTCGGTTATTCACCACTGCCTGGGCCGGGGACTTTGTCTTCCTGCCCCTCTGGACAGTGACATAGGATTTGCCTAGCAAATAGCTCAGCCATTCAAATGCAGGCTGCAAGAAAACCCTCCTCTCCTCCGCGCTGCACCCCCGGGTGTCAGGGGGGACGTCTATGCTGGCCCCAGCGCTGATGCAGAGCAGACTTCAGTCCGAGGCGTAGTGACAAGGGCCTGAGGACCCCCCACAGCCCCCGCGACACCAGCCCTCACCTTGCCAAACTCGGCTTCCAGCTCCCTGGTCTTCTGGACATGCTCCAGGCGCTCCAGGCAGCGGTTGGACTTGGCCACCAAGGTGTGGACTTCCTCCTCCACCCGGTTGTAAAGACCCAGGGCTGCATCCATGTGGTTCCTGCAGACCGAGGGAGCCCTGGATGGTCAGGCCTTACGGCCTGCTACGGCCACGGCCTGGTCTGAGCCAGGAGCAATGCACGTGCCTGCAAAGTCCCTTCTCTTGCCCCTCGCAGGGAACCAGAAGTGCCGAGGGGCAGCTGGGAGCTGACCACACCAACCCTGACTTGGGGCAGCGGCACCAAGGGACACGGGATTTGTACCCGTGCCAGCCACCCCTTGGATCGTCTCCTCCTGTGCGGGGTCACCTCCTGGCCACTGGCCGAGTCCAGGGTGCCCGCAGTGCCGCGCCACGCCATGCCGCAGCAGTAGTGCCAGGCTGCCGCACGCCGGGAGCCTGCAGCCCAGCCGAGCGGGTTGGAGCCGCGAGCGGGGCGCCACGGGAGGGTGGCACCGGCTAGCAGGGCTGTCTGTTCCCTCGTGCTGTCAGAGCAGGAGCCGGGTGAAGGAAAGCAAATGGGCTGGATGCAAGCGCCGGAGTGGGACCGGTTTCACATCCCTGGGGCCTGGTGCCATCTAGCGGCCCTTTGGACAGCAAACCGGAGCACGATGGGGCCAAGGTTGCCTCCGGGGCCTGGGGTGCCGCTCTT